AGAAGAGCAAACCAATCTGTGTTGGAAGTAGTCAGAATGCTCCCAAGAAGCCAGGACGGTCAGATTCCATCATTCTGATTTCGGACTTATTATCAGAAGGGCCCAGTCTCTGGAAAAGGACATCATGCTTGGTAAAGTGGAGAGACTGCAAAAAAGAGGGAGACCTCCAACGACATGGAGTGGCATGGTGGCAGCAACAATGCGCTGAAGTGTAGCAGCAACTGTGAAGATGGGCACGACTGGGCAGGGTTTCGTTCTGTTGTGCATATGGTCGCTATGGGTGGGAACTGACTCCACGGCACCTAACAACGCCAACAATCTTAATGGCAGCAGATGGCCAGGTCTTTCTTCCACAACACCGTGGTGTGTCATGGATGGGATTCCTGAACTGCCAACCTTTAGGTGAGCATCCAAGTACAACTGTTTGTACCCCTCAGGGTCCTAAAGGTGGGAGAAGAAGGTAGATTCCAGCCTCCTTCTGCCGACATCGGCAGCAGAGCATGGCCAACACAGCACATACAGCGGCTTTGAGAGCTGTCTTCTCACGGATTCTCCTGAGTCAGATAGGAAAACTGAGGTTCTAAGAGACTAATGTCAAGCCCCAAGGTACATGGCTAGCAAGTGAAGGAGCCAGGACTTGAACTCAGGGCTGCCTGGCCACAAAGTAGGGCTCTTGACCCCAGATGCCTCTCACTGAAAGCTGGCCTCTAACACCTTATCCGAGCCGGGTGGAGAAGAGAGTAACAGCTGCCACTTGGCTCGAGTCTCAGCCACCCGCTGCTCTGACCTCCAACCCCACAGCATACGGTTGACATGAAGGCGGCCAGCCTAAGAGTGGGGAGGACTGGGTTTCAGCCCCAGCCCGCTGCTGCGGACAAGCCTGGAAAGCCTGGTAAGTCCCTCTTTGTCTGCATGTTCCCATGAGGGGAATGCCCTAAGCCCAGGGTTCTCACCCGAGGCACTCTGCTGGCATTGGGCGATGTCTAGGGATGCTTGTGGGTCTCACAACGGACACTGGAAGAAGCCCGGGTGTGGCTCAATATCGCGCCATGCACGAGACAGCCCCTACTCCAAAAAACAATCACCTATGAATGTCTCCCCAAGGTAGACAGACCCTGACCCACATCTAAAAGGTCTCAGATTGTAGCTGGGTCCCGCGGTGGGCCTCAGTCTGTTCACCTGTAAAATGGGGAGAGGCCATCCCCTGCCCAGTCCTCATTCAGGATTACTGTGAAAACCAAATGACAATGTCATGAAAACCATGTTGAGAGACTGTTTTTCACCTACTGACTAAGCAAGGGGCGAAGGAAGCAGGTCTGCCCAAACTGTGTGGATGCAGCGCACAGCGGTACCAGTCAGAACGAATGTCCAGCAGAGACAGATGGCTGGGGGACTAACTGAAGGCATGGAATGATTTGGTGAGAGAGGAAAGCCACTCCCCAAATGGCCAAGAAGCACCTGGAGAGGCACTTACCATGAGTTGTTTGGAAAATGCAAATCAAAGCCATAGTGAGATACCACTCCCCGGTCATTAGGATGGTCAACAGAATGCAGAGAAACTGGGACCTTCATTCACTGCTACAAAGAGAACGGCCACCCCAGTCCTAGGTCTATGTATATACCCAGAAGTGGAGGCAGGAACACACAGAGCAGGCTGCCTGCTCAGGTCCACCAGACACCTGGGCATCAACGCATCAGAGCCAAAAGGGAATAACCACCCAAATGCCATCCAAAGACGAACGGATAAACAAAACGTGGTCCAGCCCACACATTGGCATTTTACTCAACAGTAAGGAGAAACTAAGTCCCAAAACATGTCACCACCAGATGAACCCTGAACACAAGATACTCAGTGAAAGAAGCCAGATACGAAGGACAAATATAGATGTATTCTAGGAAATCTCTACAACAGGCAAATGCACAGAGACCAAAGTTGATGAGAGGTTACCTGGGGATGGGGGCGGGCAGGGAGACCCGAGCTTCTGTGAAGGGAGATTTGGAAAAGGGTAGTGGTGTCGACAACACAGCATGATGACTATCATCGACGTCACTGAACTGTACACGTAAAAAGATGCTGCACTGGGAAACGTTTCGTTATATACAAGGGGGCTTCAAAAAGTGCATGAAGCAGGCTTACAGGGTACACCCCTTGGTTGGGTGAGGATGCATGGACGGGATGGTAACTATGCCAATGAAATGATGGATGATGGAATGAATGTAAAGTTGATGTTCTCCCATGTAGACTATCACACAATTCACAATAAAACATTAAAAAGGAAAAAAAAAAGTGCATGGAAAAATTCCATTAACTGTCAATTCCCTTTTCCTAAGAACTTTTGGAAGCTCCCTTCATATGTTTTACAAGAATAAGGCAGTTTTTGTTTTTAAAGAAAAGAGATGCTTTCCATGAATAAAGTATCATGGAAGGATCTAGAAGAAACTGGAGGCTATGGCTACGTTGAGAGAGAAAGAGTGCCTTTTTGTTCCCTCTGCACTGTGCACAGCCTGTACTCCTACTCAAAATGTAAAAAGAAAGTAAAAACTTTGAGGCCAAATGAGAAAAAGAGAGAGAGATTGCTCATTTACCCAGAAGGCTGTGCTTCCTAACTGCCTGCCCAGGGTCTGGCTGCAGGAGAAGCATCTAACAGGATGCTCTGGATAAAATATAAACAATCAAGGTTCCCAGGCCTCTGCCCTCAGTTGCTAACTCAAAACCTCTAGGCGTGTGACGCAGGAATCTCTGTTTCCAGCAACTGTCCTATTTGGCAGCACCATCAGGTGAGGGACCAAGGAGTGGCAATAAGTTCTGTACTCGGAACCACTCTTGACTTGAGGAATGTGTCTGAGCTGCAGTTCATTTCAAGGTGGCACTATTTTTGAGCTTCATTTCCTCGAGGGCAGGCATCTATGTGGTACTCAGCAAGCTGTGGGAATCCAATAAATATTCAATGGTCTGAAAAGTCCTCCGGACGTAATTCGCTGGGAACATGACCATAGAGAACTTGAGCTGGAGCCAGTAAGGGAGCTCAGGAAACCCAACTGTCCCAGGATCAATTTCTCCAAGCTGTGGACCCACAGTATAGGGGCACGACCGCAAGGGAACAGCAGTGGATGAGAAACCAGAAAGGGGGCCCGGAGACAGGAAAGCAATGGGTTGCAATCAGAAAGATGATGGGTTTGAACCCACTCAGTGTTTCTGTAGGAGGAAGACTTGGCTCCACAGAGAGTCCTACAGTGCCCATCTGGAAGAATGTCATCCATGTCACTGAATGAACCTGTGGAAACTGTTGAAAGGGTGTGTGCTTTGCTGTGTCTATTCTCAACAACAAAATATAGTAAAAAGGAAAACAACAACAACAAAAAAACGCCCACGGGGTGCAATTCTCTACAGCGCAATGAGAGGGACTGATACAGTGGCAGCCCCAGTGGGCTCAAACAGAACAATTGTGAGGATGACGCAGGGCCAGCAGGTAATGTTTCGTTGTATTGTATGTGAGTCACAGCCAACTTCATGACACCTGACAGCCACAGACAGACAGCAGCACAGCACTTAACAACCAACACCACACACCAAAGAACTCCACCAGTAATACACCAAGGTACACAAGACATGTGGGCCCCAGCCTTCAGTGCAGGGGAGCCATCTAGTGACCAAGCCTCAGGTAGGCAATTCACTTGTCTTCCTGGTCCCCAGCACAGCACCTGGTGACAGGTGTCAATATAGAAACGTCCACCAGATAAAATGGGGAATGCGCTCAAGCACAGATGAAAGACAGGCCAGCTCAAGACACCAGGTCCCAAGGCTATATCAGGATCCATGGAACGGTCCCTGCTCGCCAACACCAATGGCTGAGCTCCCAACTCTGGATGTCACACTCAGCCCTCAGGGCTCCCAGTCAGTTCCTTGGCCTCCAGGTCAAGTTCCCGCCCACACCTCCCAAGCTATCCCTCCTCCCTCCCGACATCTCCCACATAAACTTCAAAATCTGTTGTTGAAAGCAAAGCACAGACCCCCTGCCCAATTCCCTCACCCACAGCTGGAAAACCCTAATCCCAACTCAAACACTGTTATCCACGTCACTGAATTGGACCAAATTGGACCAAAATTGCACCAAAACATCCCGTGAGCCACCCCACCCTTCTACAGCCTTTCATGGCTGTCTCTCAGTTGGATCCCTCCTTTCTTTCCCTGAAGACCCTCAGACCCTGCCTGGCCACCCGGTGTCACCCCTCCGGTTCTTGGCATCTTTTCCCTACCTGAGCGAGAACTCTCCTGTCTACGAGTGACTGCTATTGTCACAGCCCAAAGCTGGCAACCATTGGGGAGGAGGGAGGGAGGGAGAGCAGGAGGCTTGGGAGAGGAAAAGAACCAGGTTTGATTCTTAGAAAAAATAAAAGGGGTCCCAAAGTGATCCACCAGCTGCTCCTCAGAAACCCTACACAGGGCTGCTGAGACTCGACGGCACGCAACAACAACAACAGCAAAGCAGTCACAACACTGTTAGAACTCTGGCTAGTCTAGGGTTCTCAGCTGTGGCAGTCTGGCCCCTCCCCGAGGACATCTGTGGTGTCAGGACAAGGGAGGGGGAATACTAAAGGCATCGAGTGGGTGGAGGCCAGGGATGCTGCTCAACAACCTACAGTGCATGCCATGACCCCTCACAACAAACAGTTTATCTGGCCCCAAATATAAACAGGGTTTCAACTAAAAACATAAGGGTTGGAGAAGGCGATACTGCTCCCTAAGGGACAATGCCTGGAGACATTTGTGGTTGTCACAGTTTTGGTGAGGGTGGGAAGGGAGGATGCTACTGGCATTGAGTGGGCGGAGATCAGAGATGCTGCTCAAGCCCCTACAATGCACAGGAATACCCCACCACAGAGAGGATGTGGGTGCAAATGTCCAGAGTGCCAAGGAGGAGATCGTGGCCTAGCGATGTCACCAGCTCCCCCCGCCGCGTCCAGGTGAAGCCCTGTGCTCGGCCCCCGTGAGCACTCACCGGAGGCGCGCTGTAGCTGGCGTGTGGGTTGTTCTGGATCTCCCACAAGCCCTCGTTGAAGCCTTTCCTCTTGTTGGGTTTCCCGTACTTGTCTTTGCACTTTTCGTAGGGGAACAGGTCCTTGGGTCCCAGGAAGGCTCTGGGGAAAGGAAGCCCGGGGCCGGCACCAGGTGAGCCAGGCCTCCACATGTGACAACGGGTGGGGAGATCAAAACCATCCCGGTAGGACCACTTACGTCTCATGTGTACCAAAGAAGAAGATGGGATATTTGTTGGGTGGGGGCTTCACGGCACCATCAGCGATGTCATCAATCTGCAGCGAGGGGGCAGTCGGGATGGTCAAGGGGTGACTGGGGGTGGACAGGTTCACCCGTTGACCCGGGACACCACCAGGAAAAGAGCCAGGTGATTTGGAAGAAAGCATGCTGGAGGAGGGGCTCCTTGCAGGTAGGAGGATCCATCACCTTCCTCTGCGGACCCCATTATATAACTCCTCACCCCCAAGTGGGGCTACTCACCAGGAATAAAGCAATCCCTCCCCCCCAGGTGCTTCACCTGAGCAAGGCCAAATATGATTCTCTGAAGCGACCAGGGGGTGGGACTGGACTCTGCATCTACAACTCCCAGAACCCTCCCACCGAACCCCCTCCCGCAAAGAGGCGATCTGCGGGTGGTCCCCCAGAGGATTCTGGGGCTCCGGCTGCAGCTGGCAGAACCAAGGAGGCAGAGAGTGGGGGGGTGGGCTGCAGGAGGCAGGCCCTCAGCATCCAGGAAGTCCCGCCCTGTCCCTCCAGGCCCACGGGCTCCGGCAGCTGTCAGTCACCTCCCCACAGGAGGCTAGCAGCCCCTTCACTTCCAATCATGTGCTTGGAAATGTTCAGGCTTCGCAGCCAGTCGGCTGGAGAAGGGGGAGCGCGAGAAGCCGCTGCTCAGCAAGAAGTGCCTGCAAAGTTTCATCGCTCATGGTTTCTCCCAGGAAAGCAAGGGCAAGCCAATCAGGTTAGGGTTAGGTTTTGCGGTCCCAGTGAATCCCTTCACCATCCTCTTATCCATCTTCAGTCCTCCCTGTTCCAGGCACTCAGCTCGCCGAGGCTACTTTTGCAGTATTTGACCGTGCACATCCATCCCAAACATTCCAGTCTCCCACAAAGCATCTCCAAACTCAAGTCACCTGGAGCATCGCCCCAGACTGCTAGCGGCAGTTCACTGCTCTAGCTGACCCAGGACACGCCTCTGATGCTCAGGGCAGCGCCACCTCCTGGCACCCTGTAACGATCTTTCCACATCTAAACCCAGCTTCCTTCCACGCAGAGGGCAGCGAGCAACATGAGATCTCTCTCCCCAATCCCTCAGGGGTGCCCAGGGTGACTCCTCTTGTTTTGTTCCCACTGGACCTCATCCTTCTACCCTGCTCCTAGCTGTCAGGACCCCTCAAACTCTTAAATTCCTCCAGTCTTGTCAGGCATAGATCACTAACCTCCTGGGGCGACATTAGCCCTGCGACCTGGAGGTGACACTAACTTCCAGGTCCCTCCTCCACACTGGCCTGCCTCTCATCCACAAACTTGAGACCCCCTTCAGGTGTAGACCCCTTGAGCCACCTGGGTCCCTCAGATCTCACTTTCCTCAGAGGTAAAAGTCCCCTTGGCCCAATCCCACTTCCCTCTGATGCACATCTTTTCAGGCTTGTGCCCCCTTAGCTTGGGAGGAGCTCAGTTTCAAGTATCAATGAGACCATCCCACCCCTAACTAAGTCCGCCTGAAGTCCTGGGTTGCCCACTCAGGTGATCGATCAACTCAAGCAGTCGTTTCCACCTGAATGCGGGGGTTGCCCTCAGGGTGGCGATTCCCAGGAACCCCCAACAAGCCTTTTCAGCCCTTAAGACCCTCAAGCCCCCTTTCTCAGATGCAGCCCCATTTCCATCCCTGGTCTCTCTGACTCTCAAACATGGTCCCGTGCGCCCCCCTGCCTTCACCTGCATCCTCACTTCGACCTCCCCCCAACCTTCTGACTCCTGAGCACTCACCCACCTCCTCAAATCTTAACCCCCTCAGAACCTCACACTTGAACCCAGCCCCGCCGCAGACATTCAGCCTTGACCCTCAGCCCTCTTGGGCCCCAGGTCCCTTAAACCCCTTGCTCCTTATCTCCAGGCCACCTAAGACCTCCAGCGCACTGGTCACTCAGGCCCGGCCCCCCAGACTCCTCTCGGACCCTGCCGGACCTCAGGGCGCGGGACCCTCGGATCCCCCCGCCCTCACGGATTCCGGCGCGCGAGACCCTCAAGGATCCCGGAATCTTCAAGCCCGGGGCCCCTCCTGCCCCACCCCCACCTCGCGGGGCCCATCTCCCGCGCGGCCTCACCCGGGCCGGCCAATGGGGGTAGCCCTTCATCTTGGCGAACACCAAGTCCCCGGGCTTGAAGGCGTACGGCATGCTGGCGGCTGGGGGCCCAGGCCGCGGGAGGCGGCGGCGGCGGCAGCGGCGGCAGCGGGAGGCGAAGCCGGGGGCGGGAACGGGACGCTGAAGGGGCGGGGGCGGCCGCCGGGACAGCGGGCCGGCGCGTGCTTATTGGGCTGGGGGCCGCCGGAAGTCCCGCCTTCTGGCAATCACAGGCAGTCGACGCAGTCGTTCAGAGCCACGTGCGGGGATGGAGGAGCGCGGGGACCAATAAGAAGAGGGATTGAAGCGGAGCAAGTTAACGGGATTGGATAACGGGCAAAGCCAAGGGGCGTGACCCAGCGGCCTAATGGGAGGAGGGCGGAGGTTAAGGGAGGTGAAAGGGGAAGGAAGATGGGAGGAGGGAAACGAAGGAGCCAAAATCCTTCGGGGAGGGGCTTGGCGTAAGGGCGGGTCAGAAACGTCACAGGAGGCGGAGATTTAAGAGAGGGACAGACCATTGGACAGCAGAGGACAGAAGGCCCAATCAACGTAGGAGACGGATGATTGAGCGCCTCCTGTTCAAGTTTAGGTGCCCGCCAGTAGGTTCAGGCTCATAGCGACCCCTGCGCCAACCTCACCGTAGTTCCTGTGTTTGAGCCAATTGTTGCAGTCACTGTATCACTCCATCTTGGTTAGTGTCTTCCACTTTTTCACCCACCTCTGGTGGTGGTGTTTATACGCCGTGGAGTCTGTTTGCTTGCCTCTATCAAGCATGAAATCCTTTTTCCGAAACTGACCCCTGGTAACGTGTCCTCACCGTCCTGGTTTTTAAGGAGCATTCGCTACATAAACTTCCTTTAACATAGATTTGTTTCTTTTCTGGCAGCGCACAGTACATTTCATATTCTTTGCCAACAATATAATTCAAAGGCAACAATTCTTCTCTGGTCTTTATTGTCTAGCTTTCACATACATATGAAAAAAAAAAAAAATACCATGGCTTGGGGTCAAGCTCTCACCTTGGTCTTCAAATAACATCTTTGTTCTTTAACACTTTAAAGAAGTCTTTTGCAGCAGGTTTTTCCAGTACAATATTACATCTTTAATGTCTCCGATGCTTCCATGAGCATTGATTGTGAATCCAAGTAAAATGAAGTCCTTGACAATTCTACCTTTTCTCTGTTTATCATGATGTTGTTTATTGATGCAGTTGTGAAGATTTTTATTTATGTTGTGGTGCAATCCATACTGAAGGGTGTAGTCTTTGATGGTCCAGTATTTCAAATCCTTTGCCCTTCCTGCAAGCAAGGTGTGTCATCTTCGTAATTTAGTAAATTGTTAATAAACCTTTCTCCAATCCTTACATTGCATTCTTCTTCATATAGGCCAACCCCTCAGATTATTTGTTCATAATCAGCGTAAGTGGTTACGAATCAGGCTGCTACCTCACGGTCAGCAGTTCGAAACTACCAGCTATTCCGCGAGAGAAAGATGAGGCTTTCTGCTCCCGTAAAGATTTACAGCTTCGGAAACCCTGTACAGGGTCACTATGGGTCGAAACCGACTCGATGGCACTTAACAACAACAACAATCAGCATAAGTATGGTGACAGGATACAACCCAGACACACGTTGGCTGGTTTTATATTACGAAGTATCCCCTTGTTCTGTTAGAACGACTGCTGCATGTTCTCAGTACAGATACTGCACGAGCACGATTAAGTGTCGGAATCCCAGTCTTTTCAAAGTTATCCATGGTTTGTTATAATCCACACAGTTAAATGCCTGTGCATAGTCAATAAAAGTCCATAGAGCCAATAGATCTGTGTTGGAAGACATGCAGCCAAAGTGCTCCTTGAAGGCCAAGACGGCCAAACTTTGTCTCTCATACTTCGGACATATTGTCAGGAGGGACCAGTCACTGGAGAAGGATATCATGTTTGGTAAGGTGGAGAATCAGAGACAAAGAGGAAGACCTTCAACGAGAGGATTGGCCAAGTGGCAACATGTGACAACAGAAGTGAGGTGGCCCAGGATCGAGCAGTGTTTCGTTCTGCTGTGCATAAAGTCGCTATGAGTTGGTACCGACTCGATGGCACCTAACAACAACCACAAACATTTTTCTGGTGGTCTTGGTTTTCGGCCAAGAACCAGCTGCAATGATACTCTTGCTCCGTACCTCCTTCAAAATCCAGCTTCAATTTGTTGATCTTCAACAAAATGTTACATTCATGTGATATGAATGAGATTGTTCGATAATGTCTGCATTGTGTTGAATCACCTTTCTTTGGAATGACCACCAATATAGATGACTTCCCATTGGGTTCCTGCTCAAGAGGAGGGGTTTGATGTAGGAAGGAAGGCTATTGGCTACTGTAAGAAAAGTTACAGAGCAGTCATTGACTACCACAGAGGCTTAAGCATCTGAATATTCTAACAAGAGAGGTTCAGTGGAGCCATTGCCAATTACAGGGGGTGGGGATTACATAAAGTGGGTGGGAGTCTTAACTAAAGAAACACAAAACGCCCACATGCTTATTCATTTATTCACTTATGAAAACTTCATTGTGTACTTGGTGAGTGTTTTCAATAGACATACCAAAATACCCAATATAAATATTAATTCATTGAAGAAAACTGTATTGTATTGATCAGGTAACTATGCAAGTAAGGTTCAACATTAGAAAACCAATCCATGTAATTCACCATGTAACTTAAAAAAAGGAAAAAAATATATACATTATCATATCAACTGACACAGAAAAGGCATTTGAAAACTCCCACAAAATAAGAATAGAAGAGAAATTAATCAACATAATTGAAGGCATATACACAAACCCAAGAGCTAACATTATTTTCAATGGAGAGAGATGGAAAGTGTTACCTTTGAGAATGGGAACCAAACAAGGATGCCCTTTATCATCACTTTTATTTGATACACCACTTTTATTTGATATTGTAATAGAAGTTCTAGTCAAAATAATAAGACAAGAAAGGAAAGTAAAAAGCATCCAAAACAGTAAGAAGTAAAATTATCCCTATTTTCAGATGATATGATCCTATACATAGAAAATCCCAAAGTTTCTACAAACAAACTACTGGAAATAATAGAAGGATTCAGAAAAGTGTCAGGGTACTAGATTAACAAACAAAAATCAACCAGACTCCTCCATACAAACCTAAAGAACTCTGAAAAGGAAATCAGGAAAACAAACTATTTATAATAGCTACCAAAAAGATGGAATATTTAGGCATATACCTAACCAGGGATGTATAAGACTTATTATACAAAGAAATCTACAAAACACCACTGCCAAAAATCAAAGACCTATATAAAGGGAAGAACATACCACATTCATGGATAGGTAGTATTGTGGATGTGAAAATGTCAACCCAAAGTATAGATATGATGCAGTTGGATCCAGATTCTATCAGCATTCTTTAAAGAAATGGAAAAAGTAGTCACTAACTTTGTATGTAAAGGAAAGAGACCCAGGACAAGCAAAGCATTACTGAACAAGAATAAAGTAGGAGGTCTCACACTCCTTGATCTCAAAACCGACCGTGCAGTTGGGGTCGTCAAACAGACATAATGGAAAACAAGTGAAAACCCAAAACTAAATCCATCCACTTGTGGCGCTGTGGGTTAATGCGTCAGACTGCAAAGCCGTTTGAACTGCAAGGTCGGTGGTTCAAGGTCACCAGCTGCTCCTTGGAAACCCTATACAGGGTCACTATGGGGCGGAATCGACTCAATGGCACTTGACAACAACAATGTATGCATAGCTGATCTTCAACAAAAAACAAAATCATAAAATGGTAAAGTAAAAGCCTTTTTAACAAATGTTGTCGGGTGCCATCCAGTCGGTACCGACTCATAGCAACCCATCCAGTCAGTACCGACTCACAGCAACCCTATGCATAACAGAATGAAACATTGCCCGGTCCTGCACCACCTTCTGAATCATTGCCACACTTGAGCCCACTGATGCTGCCACTGTGTCAATCCCACTCATTGGGGTGGGGTCTTCCTCTTTTTCACTGACCCTTCACACTTTACCTAGCATGATGTCTTTCTCCAGGGACTGGTCCCTTCTGATAATATGTCCCAAATATGAGAGACTAAGTGTCACTATCCTGGCTTCTAAGGAACATTCTGGTTTTACTTTTGTTTGTTTTTTTGAAAGTCCATGGTACTTTTAATATTCTCCTCCAACACCATAAGTCAAATGCATAATTTTTTCTAAGGTCTTTCTTATTCACTGTCCAACTTTCACATGCCTATGAAGCTACTGAAAATACCATGTCTTGGGTCAGGTTCACCTTAGTCCTCACACTGACATCTTTGCTCTTGAACACTTTACAGAGGTCTTGTGTAGCAGATGTGTCTAATGCACCATTTGATAGCTTCATTGCTGATTCCTTGAGTGTTTATGGTTGATCTGAACAAAATGAAGTCTTTGACGACTTCAATCTTTTCTCCATTGATATGGATGTTGTTTATTGGTCCAGGGGTGAAAGTTTTTGTTTTCTTTACAATGAGATGCAACCTATACCGAAGGCTGTGGTTTTTGATCTTCATCAGTAAGTATTTTAAGTTCTCATTGCTTTTAGTAAGCAAGGTTGTATCATCTGGCTATCATAGGTTGTTAATGAGTCTTTATCCAATCCTGATGCCATGCTCTTCTTCATATAATCTAACTTCTCAGATTAGTTGTTCAGCACACAGATTGAATAAGTATGGTGAAAGAATACAACCCTGGCGCACACCTTTCCTGATTTTTAACCATTCAGTGTTCCCTTGTTCTGTTTGAACAGCTGCCTCTTGATCTATGTACAGGTTCCTCATGAGCACAGTTAAGTGTTCCAGAATACTCTTTCTCTACAATGTTGTCCATAACTTGTCATGATCCACACAATCAAAAGCCTTGGCATAGACAATAAAGCAGGGGTAAACATCCTTCTGGCATTCTCTGCTTTCAGCCTAGATCTATCTGACATCAGCAATGATATCCCTCATTCCATGTCCTTGAGTGACTCTGGCTTGAATCTCTG